TTGATCCACTCTGAGAAGGTGCTATTTAAGAGACTGAGCTGAATACAGCTCCTCAGACTGAGGAAGTCTCTTGGATGAGAGACGAAACGTTTCTATATTTTTTTGCTTTGTTTTGTTTTTTGTTTTTTTGAATGTCCAGAGGACCAGATTGAACTTTTTTGGAACTCATTAACTTACATTTTAACATCTGCTAAATTAGATGCAACAAGTCATCGCAGGCTTGCTGCTCCTTCCACCTACAATTTTAAGCTCCAGTATAGAGCTGGAAAACAAAACCTTGATGCTGACGCATTATCCCGCCGCCCTCATGGCCATTCTGTGGATGACACCTTACAAAAAGATATGGATTTCATTTACAAATTAACCCAAGATCATACCGGTGAGTTTGCTGGTGTAGAGGAGATTGATCATGAGGTAGTCTCTGCAATATACTACTCCTGCCTTATAAGAAGCCATCAGCCAGGCAGTTTATTAGAAAAGCCAATTACATTGGTTGAATCATGAAGTATGTCCATCACTGCTGTTCCTGATGCCTACGTGGATGAGGACAACAATGGGTTGCCTGTCGTTCCCTCCCTGTCACATCATGATCTCAAAGAGAAGCAGCGAGCTGATCCAGTATTTCGAGAGGTCATCCACCAGCTGGAATCTGGAGAGAGTCCCTCCAACAGTGAGACATGAACTTCCAGATCTAACTCTTCTATTAAGGGAGCTGAGTCGACTCCAAGTTGCTAGATGAAGTCTTGTATCGGAGAAGGCAGACCAACAATGAAGTCTATTATCAGTTGGTGTTGCCCGAAGATTGAGGCCCATTGTTCTAACTAGTCTTTATCATGATGTGGGTCATATGGGCATCGAACGAACATTAGATCTTGTACGTTCCCGTTTCTTCTGGCCCCACATGGCATCTGACGTTGAGGCTAAAATCCAAACCTGCAACCGATGTGTGAGACGTAAAGTTCTTCCTGAAAGATCTGCACCACTTGTAAACATCAAGACCACCTTTCCTTTAGAATTACTCTGCATGGACTATTTGTCATTTGAACCAGATTGAAGTAATATCAAAGATATTCTTGTTATTACTGATCACTATACAAAGTTTGCAGTTGCAATACCTACATCAAATCAAAAGGCAAAGACAGACCAGATTTTGAATCTAGGTTTATAAAAGAACTCTGTAACATCCTTGGTATTGAAAAGACCCGGACAACCCCATACCATCCTTGAGGGAATCCCGTTGACAGATTTAATCGAACACTTCTCAACAAGGTTGGGACCCTGGAGCACAAACAGAAGGCCACCTGGAAAGAATATGTGAAACCTTTAGTGCACGCTTATAACTGCACCAAGAATGAAGTCACTGGATTTTCACCTTATGAACTCATGTTTGGACGTTCACCACGACTTCCAGTAGGCATGGCATTTGGCTTGCCAGTGTGAGAGCATCAGTGTACTACTCATTCAGAGTATGTCCAGAGATTAAGATCCCGGCTTGAAGGGAGCTTTGAAATTGCTTCAAAGAATGCAGCAAAGTCTGCTATAAAGAACAAACATCGGTTCGACCAACGGGTCACACCATCAAAGTTGGAGGAAGGAGATAGAGTTCTTGTTCGAAATGTCCAGCTTCGAGGACAACATAAACTGGAAGATAAGTGGGAACAAGATGTTTATAAGGTGGTGAAGCGAGCTCGAGAATTACCTGTATATACTGTGCGTCCAAAAAAGAATGCTGATGGACCAACCCGCATTCTCCACTGTGATCTCCTTTTGCCTTGCCCATTTCCTCAAGCCAGTGACATCAAATATACTCCAGCAAGAACACCTCCTCAAAAACCCCAAACGAGAAGTCAAAAGCCAGCAGAACAAGACTCAAATGAAGAGCTGGAGGAAGAGGATGTTGGATGTGAGTTTCCCCACTATGGATTTACCCCACAACATTTATCCCCAGGAGTTCATTACAGGCCGACCATGTCCCTACCTCAATCAATGGTGGTCCTGCGACTATACAAACCTCAACTTTGGATATCCCTCTACTTGATGATAGAGAACCCTCTGCTGTATTATTACCTGACAGCACAAATTCAGCTACAGTGTATGATAATATCCCTGTGGAAGGGGAGGAGCTTGCACCTGCTGATAACTCATCTGGACTTGAAGAGTTGGAAAGGTGTGAAGGCCAGTCTGAAGAACCAGAGCTCCCTTACTAAGCAGCGGAATTCCCTAGTCTGACCGAACCATTGCTCAGCTCAGTTTAAAGTTCCAAACCTCATGTTCGGCGACCCACACGACGACAAGTGCCTAATCGCCTTCATTATTCAGTCTTAGGAAATCCTCAAATTTTTGTTGTACAGACATTGTTTCACAGCTTAGCCGTTGCCTGTAGTAAAGCACTGACTCTGATCCCAGTAGTAGCATCCTCTGTACAATCATGCGCTCATAATGTCTAGTATTCATCAGGAGTTGCATGGTCTTAAGGGGGAGGGTGTAACCCAGGTAGCAAAAATCATTCTCTTTCCCTAGTATGCACTTCACGCATTTCCTCTCGCATTAATACTCATTCTCACGAGTGTACCGTCAGTCAGACACGTGACTGCAATGAACCAATCAGTGGCTATATAACCATGGCAAGAAAACAATTGCGATAAGACCACAAGGAAGTATGGGAAGAAGTTGCTGCAGGTAGGATTATAAGGATTATAAAGTGAATTGTTGCTCTCTTTTTTTTAATATAAAATATTGCTTAAAAAAACAATGCGTTGAATGTTGATTGTAGGAGCCAGCTATCATAGACCTCTGAGAGGCGAGAGGAGTTTGCATTTACCTTCGAACCGGAATTGGTGAGTCAGCGACCGTATTGTTAGTTCCGCTAGCTTAGCCGCCCCATGTAATTGTATGGGCAGGTTAGCCTTATTACTAATTAGCTCATCTAGCTTGGCCTACCCTACTGAAAAACGTGGCAATTGTTTGTCATTTCTCTGAAGTTTACACTACATGAAATGATTGTGACATTTATTTTGATTGTCCAGCAATGACTGAAATGTAAACCAATGCATTTTTTGTATTGTTTACCTGATTTAAATAATATAGTGCAATGTGATTTAAAGGATTGAAATATAATTGTATATTATATATTCATGTACATTGATTGATATTTTAATAATGATTTTTAGACAATATATTTAATGCAATTACTATTATTTTTTGGAGTATATGAATTTTGATGTGCGCACACCGATTTATAGATTTATTGAATGATGGCCTTGTGTCTTATACAGGCCAGGTTTTAATTGATGATGACGAGCTACAGAAAAAGTCCAGAACCTAGACCAGAGGATCATCTTGACTTTATAAGGATTCAGAGCCTTCACTCTCTGTCTGAAGGAATTCACCTGCTTGGTTCGGGCTGGTAGGAGGCTTCTGCAGCCAGTTTGAACTTCTATTTTGTCCCCCTTGTCCTTGGACTGTTTGAACCTTTAAAATTCTGTTCCACGGGCATTCAAAATCCCAACGGCATTTGCCCTATTCAACATGGACTATTGAACTTTAGCCTTCAAGGAATTTAATTATTAGGAGGTTGTGTGAACAATGAACCATTGGGGACATTGTGAATTAATAACTCGCACACAAAAAGAAAAGGTTAATGAACTTGATTGTTTTTTTTGTTTGTAATTTTGTTCATATTGCACTGTACATATTTATGAAATTGAATGGCCATTCAGGGGTGTATATTAATGTCATTGGTGTTGCACAAATTTAATACACGGTGCCTATTGAATACAAATTCAGTCTCTGTGACTGTGTTTATTCTTAACCCCCTCTCTCAGTCTTATCTAGTCTTCTGATAACTAGCCAGTTAATCCAACAATTTTCAGTCAGGTCATCTGGACAATTTCTTTTTTTTTCCTGAAACGTTTCACCTTCCATCCGGAAGGCTTCATCAGTCAAGGAAACAGACAACACAAAACTGATTCTTCTTCCCCAACAGCTTTCTCCAAAGTGGAACAAATCAGTTATGTTGGTGCTAAGATGGTGTCTTTGTCATGCCCCCTCCTCTGGAGCTGGCCCTCTTACTCGTCGACAGTTATGTCAAACTGGTTCAGAACCAAAAGTCTGTGCTTAATAATCCAGGTATACAATCCAACAATTTTCAGTCAGGTCATCTGGACAGTTTCTCTTTTTTTTTTTTGAAACGTTTCACCTTCCATCTGGAAGGCTTCATCAGTCAAGGAATTGACCAGTTTGACATGACTGTCGACGAGGAAGAGGGCCGACTCCAGAGGAGGGGGCGTGCCAAAGACACCATCTTAGCACCAACATAAATGGTTTGTTTCACTTTGGAGTAAGCTGTTTGGGGGAAGAATCAGTTTTGTGTTGTGTGTTTCCTTTACTGATGAAGCCTTCCAGATGGAAGGTGAAACGTTTCAGAAAAAAAAAAAAAGAAGAAACTGTTCAGATGACCTGACTGAAAATTGTTGGATTGTATACCTGGATTATTGAGCATGGACTTTTTAGCCAGTTAATATTAAGATTTATTTGAGGTTACTATAAAAACCCTCATTATTTAACCAATATACTCGCTTACATGCGCGTGTTTGTACCGGCAGTTTAGAACGCGGGGTGGGGGAGAGACAGCTGAGCTGTGCACTGTCTGTACCCGCAGTTTAGAGCTGGGTGGAGAGACACAGCTGAGCCGCACGTAGGTGGTTTTTAACTTTTTAGCTAGCTAGTATTGCACACAGCTAATTAACGTTATGCCAGTATCGACAGGCGGTGTGGGGGTGTGTGCACGCAGTTTGGTTTGGTAGTTCGGCGTGCTCAGTTCTGGTAACGGGGCAGGGCGCCCCGCTTGTATAATGGTAGGGGAAACACTGACGTATTTTCGTCATGAAATTAGCATACGTATCATGATATAATTTATTTTCCCAGGCAAGCTTTTTTTTACTGGTATTATTGTGAATGATATATGGCCCAGCCCGAGGTCCCAGTTCATTATAATGTACCTGTAACACCTCTTGATGTCTTCTGTAGTAGCATTCTTGTCCACTCCAAGCACTGCATAGAGAGATTCTCCTGATGTGGACAAAGTCCTCTGCCTCTGGTGGTCCATGACCTTTGGCTCTCTAGTCTTACTTGTTCCCTTGTTGACTCAGTTCCTCACCTGGCAAGAGGGAAAAAAAACAAGGAGCATTATTTAACAAAAAATTAAAATAAAAAAAATGAGAGGTGAGGCTGTCTAAACTGGACATTTAGCTCTGTGCTGGTGAAAAACCATTAGATAGCCAGGTCCCCTTGGGCAGCACGGAGCCACCGAGACTAGTTCCCATTAGCGGACTTCCAGCAGACCCTGAGCAGCCGGGACCCCAGCCCGGCTGTGGGGCAGTCCGGAATAAGCTAAGCCCCCAGTTCACCACCGTTCAAGTTTCAAATCGATTTTCCTCACTCAGTGATTCAACTGTTGAGAAGACGACCATGGTTATTGGCAGCTCCACAGTCCGAAACGTGGCACTAGGGGCTCCAGCGACCATAGTTAAATGTACTCAGGGGGCCAGAGTGGGCAACATCGAATCCTACCTGTAACAGCTGGCTAAGGCTAAATACAGTAAAATTGTTATTGACGTCGGCGGTAATGACACCTAGTTACGCGAATTGAGGTCACTAAAATTAATGTTGCTTGCTATCTGTTTGTATTTGTAATTATTTCTAGCCTTAACATTTCGTTGTTGTTTTTTTTTCAATAGAAAGTACACCTGGACCTGGCATTCTGTGTTCATCTGTTTCACCTTCCTGTCCCCTCAAACCCAGCTGGTTGAAGCAGATGGCAGCTCTTCCTGAGCCTGGTTCTGCTAGAGGATTCTTCCTCTTAAATGCAGATTTTCCTTTTCACTGTTGTGACTTGACATTATATAAATAAACTTCACAAATAAACTGAATTTATATCTTTATCTGTTCTTGTACAATTAGAATTTAAGTTTGTTAAAGTTCTGGCGTTTCTCTCCTGTCCTGCTGTGTTTCCATAGTTATGTTATGTTGTTGTTTGTTTATACGTCATACGCAGGTTAACAAAAGGTTTATAATGCAATGAAAAGTTCAGGATGAGAAGAACCGATTTGACTCACTAAAAAAAACAAGGAGTACTAAAGCATGCAATAAAAGTACAAAATAAAGTACCAAAAAGTGAAAAAGAAATATATTTACTAAGTCTAAAAGAAATATAACAAACAACAACATGGCAGAATGTAACAATGCAAGTAGGTTGAATTTATAAATGGACTGTACTTATATAGCGCCTTTTTATCTGAACAAGACACTCAAAATGCTTTACACTACAATCTGTGCCCTCATTTACCCATTCATACAGCACTCTACTAGATCTCTACAAAGCTAATTAAACAAATCATTCTAAAGAGACTAATCAGTGCTTTAGATCACATTCATACACCGATGGGACACACATTGGAGACAATGAGGGGTTCAGTGTCTTCTTGCCCAAGGACACATTGGCATGTGACTACTGGTGGATTCAAACCCCCAACTCTTGCATTGGAGGACAACTGCTCTAACCACTCAGCCACAGCCGCTCACCATGTATGAATAAGAAAATTTCACAGGTGGTAATATAAGCTAAAATGCACATAATATATATTGCACATAGCTAACATACCCCTCCCTGGGCTGCCACCTTACCATGGTGGAGGGGTTTGAGTGTCCCATTGATCTTAGGAGCTATGCTGTCAGGGGCTTCATGCCCCTAGTAAGGTCACCCAAGGCAGACAGGTCCTAGGTGAGGGACCAGACAAAATGCAGCCCAAAGACCCCTTATGACGAGTCAAACAAATGGAAACAATGTTCCCTTGCCCGGACGTGGGTCACTGGGGCCCCACTCTGGAGCCAGGCCTGGAGGTGGGGCACACTGGCAAGTGCCTAGTGGACAAATTTTTTACACATGGAGCCTGGCCGGGCACAGCCCGAAGAGGTGACGTGGGTCCCCCTTCCCATGGACACACCACCTGTGGGAGGGGCCAAAGGGGTCAGGTGCAATGTGGGATGGGTGGTGGCCAAGGGCGGGGATCTTGGCAGTCTGATCCATGGCTACAAAAGCTGGCTATTGGGACGTGGAATGTCATCTCTATGGTAGGGAAGGAACCTGAGCTGGTGTGTGAGATTGAGAGGTTCCTGCTAAAAATAGTCAGACTCACCTCAACGCATGGCTCTGGCTCTGGAACAAGTTTTCTTGAGAGGGGTTGGACCCGCTTCCAAACTGGAGTTGCCCCTGGTGAGAGGCATCAAGCAAGAGTGGGAATACTTGTTGCCCCCCATCTTGGTGCCTGCACGTTGGAGTACACCCCGGTGAACGAGAGGGTAGCCTCCTCCGCCTATGTGTTGGGGGACAGGTTCTGACTGTTGTTTGTGCTTATGCGCCAAGCAGCAGTTCAGATTACCCACCCTTTTTGGAGTCCTTGGAGGGGGTACCGGAGAGTGCACCTCCTGGGGACTCCCTTGTTCTGCGGGGGGACTTCAATGCTCACATGGGCAATGACAGTGAAGCCTGGAGGGGTATGGTTGGGAGGAACCCCCCCCCCCCCCCCCCCCCGATCTGAACCCAAGTGGTGTTCTGTTGTTAGACTTCTGTGCTCATCATAGATCGTCCATAACGAACACCATGCTCAAGCAAAAGTCATGTCTTGGACACTCGGGTGAAGAGAGGGGCAGAGCTGTCCACTGACCACTAACTGGCGGTAAATTGGCTCTAATGGTGGGGGAGGATGCCGGTCAGACCTGGCAAGCCCAAACATATTGTGAGGGTCTGCTGGGAATGTCTGGCAAAGTCTCCTGTGAGCATATATATATATATATATATGTATATAAATTAAAACTCTGATGAACCAGATTCTACAAAAACATTAGATTTAAATTTTTATAGGTTTTCATCATCATTTGATGTACTTGCACTCATTGCCTACTTTTAATATTCATTTTAGATGTGTGGTTTTCTTTCTTGTTCACATATATACATTTTATTTTTAGTTTTGCTTTAAAGTTCTTGTTTTGTGATTTGTACATTTGTGGGTTAAAATAAAGTTGAACTGAAGGTCGTCTCTTTTCTTTAAACATGTTTGAGGGAAATATTCCTGAGATCTAATAGTTTTGTGTCTTTTTATGATTTTCAGCTGAGTTAACAGTCATTAAAGTGAAAACAGGATTTCATGATGAAGCTGGCACCGTTTATTTTATTTTTTTGTAAATCTTCAACGCTCTGCTGGTCTCACACGACACTGCCCGCAGTCACACGATCCTCTCCTCAGGAGCCAGGACAGGCAGGCTCATCTTCCCAGCTCCAAGCTCAGCTGGTGACTCACAGAGGCCGTTCCAAGACCCCAGCTGCGCGTAATCATGAAGGCTCAACCCGCGCTGACAGGCGGACTGAGACGGGTCTGCGACGAACGGTGAAAGCAATTTTAAAAAACATTTTACGTGTAAAAAAAATAATAATCATTTTTAAATCGCTTCAGCAATTTTTAAAAACATTTTTTGTATAAAAATATTACTTTATTTAAAAATCGCTTCCACCGTCCGTCCCAGACTGTCCAGTCCGTTTGACTGCCAGGTGGGATCGGGATTCAGCCTTCATGATTAAGCGCGGCCGGGGTCTCGCAACGGCCATCTGTGAGTCCCCATCTCCAGCTTCGCAGTGACCAGCGGAGCTCTGAGCACACAAGGCTGGTATCCGGAACCCGAGCCTCCGAGTCGGCACATCGAAGGATCTTTCGCGGTGACCAGCTGAACTTGGAGCCGGGGAGATGACGCCCTGCCCGGCCTGGCGCTCCGAGGCTCCGGAGGGAGGATCGGGGTACACCAGCAGAGCTCCATCCAGCTTGTTCTGAATTATGTTGTCGGCCACCAAGCACAAAAAATGCCAGCACATCAGCATTAGACCAAGATGTTGTCAGTATTGTTTTTAAAATCTTTAAAATAAGTCCAGCCGCTGCTCCAGTCCGAGAAATTGAAAATGGCGGATTATTGTTTTGAAACGTTTCTGAAGGATCCAGTGACTCCGCCCCCGACCAATCAGTGACATGGAGGAGGTAGAAAAGAGAGCCTTGACGTCCTTTTCAGGGACACCACCAAGTCATTGGTTCAGGTATGTTGACGACACCTGGGTTAAAATTAAATCTCAGGAAGTCCAACATTTTACTGACCACATCAACTCTGTGGATAAATACATCAAGTTCACACGAGAAGATGAAAAAAATGACAAGTTGGCTTTCTTGGACTGTGAGGTCTCAGTCTCTGATAGAGGACATTTGCAAACTGAGGTGTACCGCAAACCCACCCACACAGACCAGTATTTGCAGTTTGACTCCCATCACCCTTTGGAACACAAGTTAGGAGTCATCAGGACTCTGTACCACAGAGCAGACAGCATCCCCACTAACTCAGGAGCCAGGCAGAAGGAGAAATCCCACACAAGACAGGCTCTAGAGCAATGTGGATATCCTAACTGGGCCTTCCTGAAAGCAGAGAAGAAACCCAAACAGGACTCCAGTCAGCCAACAGGTGAAAAGGAGGAACCCAGACCCAGACCAGTGGTCATTCCAGATGTTGAGGGAGTATCAGAGAAACTGAGACGTTTATTTTCTAAACATAACGTCCCAGTGGCTTTTAAACCCCAAAATACATCAAAGACTGGTTCATCCCAAAGATCCAGTCCCCCGGCACAAACAGAGTAATATTGTGTATGCTGTTCAGTGACAGGAGGGTGATCAGTCTTACATCGGGGAAACAAAACAGCCACTGGCCAAAAGGATGGCCCAGCACAGAAGATCAACATCATCAGGCCAGGACTCTGCGGTCTACACTCATCTCCAGGCCAGCGGTCACTCTTTCAGGGATGAAGATGTTCACATCCTGGACAGAGAGGAACGATGGTTTGAGAGAGGAGTAAAGGAGGCCATCTTTGTGAAAAGAAACCGTCCATCGTTAAACAGGGGTGGAGGCCTCCAGGTTCAACTGTCCCCCTCTTACAATGCTGTGATTGCTAGTATCACTCAGCCCTCTGTGAGTAGTAAACAGCCATCAGGTGCTAATGATCCATTGTTAGGCTGATGGTCCTTCTTGAGCATGTGAGCAGCTGGTTTTGGTTGTCAGCAGCAAAACTGG